CTGCCTAGAGTCCCAGAAACGGTATGTCTGTTTAATGTCCTTGTAGTTTTACCTTTCCTCCAGTGCCATGTAAGTGTAATCATTAAATACATATTCAGTTGAGTTTGACTTTTGTGTGTCAGTTTCTGTGTTTGAAAGCCACTGGAGATACTCATTCGTGCAATGCAGTTCCTTCTTGGATACAACACAGCTTCTGTACCCCTTTGCTATGAGTTTTAGTTTGAGTGTCCCCAGAAACCCTTGTGTTAAAGGTTTGGTCTCCAGGGACATTACTTCAGTGGCATTTAGAGAGTGGAAACAGTTCAATGATGGTGTCCAATTACAGAGTCTCTTGGGCTTGCCTGGCTTGGATTGGGTTGTCCAAACCAAGGCTTTAACAGGAGAGATGTGGACTGATGCAGCTCCCTCTTGCCAGGTCCTCTGTAGGGCCTCTGGTTCTCTGCTATCAGCAACTCCTACACCAGATGCTCAACTAGAGGAGCCCGGATGATGTTGGAATGTACACCTTCCAAACCATGGACTGAAATAAATGAACCTGTAGATGGAAGATCTTTCTCTCTATATTTCCCTCTGTCTGTAATCTGCCTTTGCAATAAAAATAAATATGTCTCTAAAAATTAGAAATATGGATTAAGTTTCTTACCTGTTTACTTGCTGATCCAATATGAATGTTTCGGTTGATGTAAATTTCTTTTCAAACATTCATGTGTTCTCTTCCCTTCCCATATTTATATTATTTGTCCCCAAATTATTATAATGGTATCGTTTTTGGTTTTACCATTGTAACCTTAACTTTGTGATATATAAATGACAAACTTAGGAAGAGGAAGAAAATATAGTAATGCAATATGGATGTATAATTAAAAATAATGGGAATTCTGTTATTCAAGGTAAAGGTATAATATCTATTATTTCCCCATTTGATACTCTCCTTTGTGCAGTATATAGGAGAGAGTGTGTGTGTGTGGTGTATTACTTGTTGCATTGCAGAGAGAGCATTTTTATCCTTTTTGGGAACAGGCTTATTTCACTAATAATGATGGTTTTCAGCTGGGTCAATTTTGTCACAAATTTTTTTTTCTCTAAGTAGTATTCTATGGAGTAAATGTGCCACATTTTCTTTATTCATTCAGCTGATGATGGGCATCTGGTTTGTTTCCATGACTTTGCTATTGTGAATCGTGATGCTATAAACATGAGGTTGTAGGTAGCTCTCTTGTATACAGATTTCATTTTGTTTGCATATATTCCTGGGAATGGGATGCCTGGGTCATATGGTGGGAATCTCCATAGTGACTCCCATAGTGGTTGCACTGTTTTACATTCCCACCAACAATGGATTAGGATGCCTTTATCCCCACATCCTTGCCAGCAGTTATTGTTCGTTGATTTCTATATGTAGATCAATGTTTCTATCAGTGGTATGGCAGTTTGCAGAATCACAGGCGTCTGTTTGGGAGCATTTCTTAGCAAGCATTATCTTGTTTACCAATAACAGACACGACTGTGAAACAGCATCTTAGAATATTACCATTCATTAAGGCTCGAACTGTCCTTTCCTGTGCCCAGACACAACTCAGCTGACTGAGTTCAACACCTTCCAAAGGGTGTTCTTTCCCCTAATCCTAATGAAGCTTAGCATGAATAAAGTAGCCTTGCTTTTTCTTTTTTTAAACATGTATTTATTTATATTGGAAAGATAAATTTACAAAAGAAGGAGCTACAGAGAGAAAAATCTTCTGTCTGCTGGTTCACTCCCTAGGTGGCATAGCCAATCCAAAAGCAGGAGCCAGGAGCTTCTTTCAGGTCTCCCATGTGGGTGGAAGTGGAGCAGCCAGGACATAAACTGGTACCTATATGGGGTCCCGGCCCGTGCGAGGTGAAGGTTTAGCCATTAGGCTATCATGCCTCTAAGTTATTACAGCCTCTAATAGAGATGTACATCATATTTTCCATTTCATTTTCAGAAATTGGACAGTTGCCAAGCTTTCTCAAGTGCCGTATTTGTGGAGCATGTTCTTTCTTCAGTGTTTTAGGTTGCTTATCATGTACACACATAGACAAAATATATCTAGTCTTTACTTCTTTTAATTCATATGACTCATGGATCTTCAAGGTTGCTTTTATTATATAGATCAAAATGTTTATGTCTGGATCCTCAGAATGGAGCCAGCATTGTGGCAGGGAGATGGCACTGCTTTGCATGATTCTGTCAGGCCCTATGAGAGAACCATTTTGGGTCTTGGCTGCTCTTTCTAGCTTTTCATGATCCTGGGAAGGGTCCCTGCCATCCATGTGGGACAATGATGGAATTTCTCAGTTCTGATTTTAGCCTGGTGCACACCTGCTTTTCTGGCTGTTTGGGGATGGAAGCAGTGGACGGAAGATACCTCTTTCTGTTTTCATCTTTGCCTCTCTGTCACTGTGCCTTTCCAAAATTTTTTTTAAAAAGTATTATTACATTATTCCTTGGCTAAAGCGTAATGTTGCAGGACAGTCTGGAGCACTGAGTAAATAATCCATTAGAGAGAATTTCAACTAAAATATTTGATGTGCCTTTGGAATATTAATTTAGCATTTGTTAGAATAGATGTTGATTGACATCTTAGAAGATTCTGCACTGCTTGCAAAACTGGGAAAATATCATTTCATAAGGAGTTATACATCAGCCAAGAAAGCTGTGCAGTATTATCAGGTAGCATTGTACTAATCATTTTAAAATGCCATCACCACGTTAGGATGTAAGCATTACCCAAGGTTGGAAATGCCTCTCGGGAGGCTCTATGTGCATTGCAGGATGCAGATTTCTTTTGTTCAATTTTTAATTCATAATAGTTTATAATTCACAAAGCAAGTAGTTTTAAATAGTACACAGACTATTCATATATTGCATATCCAGCCTCCTCTATTATTAACCTTTAATATTAGTGCAGATATATTTATTAGCCCAGTAGACATCTGTCATAGGACATTCTTTCACTCTGTGCACCCTACGTAAAAACACTAGCCTCTAATTGCAGAAGATAGAAACAAATGATGCTGGGCCCGGTGGCGTGGCCTAGCGGCTAAAATCCTTGCCTTGAAAGTGCCGGGATCCCATATGGGCGCCAGTTCTAATCCCGGCAGCTCCACTTCCCATCCAGCTCCCTGCTTGTGGCCTGGGAAAGCAGTTGAGGACGGCCCAAAGCTTTGGGACCGTGGCCTGGAAAAGCAGTCAAGGACAGCCCAAAGCCTTGGAACCCTACACTAGTGTGGGAGACCTGGAAGAAGTTCCTGGCTCCTGGCTTCGGATCAGCATAGCATCGGCCGTTGCGCTCACTTGGGGAGTGAATCATCAGACAGAAGATCTTCCTCTCTGTCTCTCCTCCTCTCTGTACATCTGACTTTCCAATAAATAAATAAATCTTAAAAAAAAAAAAGAAACAGATGATGCTATCCTTCTTTTGTGAAGCTTTTAGATATGGCACAGTGAGCTGATCTTAAGATGGAATTGTAATTATTATTCTCAGATGCACATTTGGTCCTTCACTTACTCATTGTAATGAAGGTAAGAGAGCAATCACATTGCACCCGTGGGCCACTCCTGGATAAAACGTGTCACAATACATATAGACAGAAACCGTGTTCATAATGCATGCCTTTTGTAGTTAAAAATGCATTTGAGCCTTAAGTTTTATAATTAGATCAGACATATATTGTAAGATTTATTCATGATTAAGGAATTGAATTGGAGCAGAAAGGACTGGGGTATTTGTAGATCCTTGAAATAGTTGAGAAATGATAGATTCAGATTCCAGCTTCAATAGCCTCAACAGCTAAGATCCTGTGGATCCAAAATCATGGGATTAAAATGTTCATGAAGTGCTGACTGACTTAATTTGGTTTAGCTCATTAGGAAACTTGCGAAAGGCTCAGTCTAATGTCACCTCCCCTGGGAAATGTGCCTTGCTTGGACCAATATTCCAAGCAAATTCTATGATAGTGAAATGACCACTTTCTAACAGATTGGTTTTAAGTTTGCTTTCCCTACTAAGTAATACACTTGATGAGACTGTGCTTCTCCCCTTTGCCCGTTGCTGCCTGCCCTGCATCACTGGGCTTTCAGGAGCAGATACACTGCTTGATCTTTTCCCACAACACCCTTTGCAGGGTCTCCATAAGCTGGAATGTTCTGAAAGCCAATGATTGCTTATTTGGGGTCAGCACAATGCCAACTCCTTGGAGAGATTTTTCTTCATGTTTCTAGTTAAATGTTCTATACCTTGCTTTATTTGCTTTATAGAATGTAGCAACATTTGATCCCTTCATCTTTGCTTTGCTTAAACTTCCTTGAGAGCTGATGTTTCAATCATGTTTTGACTTTTGGCTAAGGTGAAGTGTGTGAGGGCAGGCGTTAGGTCTGTCTTGTTTACCCTTTTATTCTAGCACTTGAGCAGTACCTATCATGTTAGATACATGATAAACATGGGCTGAGCAAATTAATAGAAAAGTGGATACATAAAGCTAAGGTTTGAGAGCTAAAATTACTTTCAAAATCATATTTGTGTCCCACCTGGAATAATCCTGTTTACTGCATTTTTGGGAATATAAATTCATTAATAAGTAACTATTTATTAACATAATTCTTTCTGAAAAACACATTTGCAAACTTCAAGCTGCTGACCATGGTACATGGCACATTGTGTTTAGTAACGATATCAATATTATAATAATTGAGCCATTTAATTAATCTTTGGCCATAGGTGGTAGTGTACATTCATAATGTGTGATCATATACATTTATCTTATTTATTTGAGATGCGGAGACTTAGAATGAGAAAGGCACCCTGGCAGGCAGAAGGAGAGAAAGCTCCCATCCATTACTACAGCAGGTCAAAGCCAGAAACGCAGTTCAGATCTCGCACGCGGGTCTGGGAGACCTTATTGATCCTGAGTTGTGTCTCTGTTCTGTATGTCTGTTTGGGTGCAGATATAACCACTTTTTCTTCTCACATTGACAGGATTATACCTTGACAATGTACTTCCAGCAAGCCTGGAGAGATAAGAGGCTGTCCTACAATGTGATCCCTTTAAACTTAACTCTGGACAACAGAGTGGCGGACCAGCTCTGGGTTCCTGACACGTACTTCCTGAATGATAAGAAGTCATTTGTGCATGGAGTGACTGTCAAAAACCGCATGATTCGCCTGCACCCAGATGGCACCGTCCTTTATGGCCTCAGGTCTGTAGCATCTATGTTAAAATATAACTTTTCTGAAAGGTGGAGCTGTTGGGGTTTCTTGGAAGGGGGTAGTGTGCTGTTTCTCTCTCCTGCTGCAGTCCTGCGGATAAACAGATAACCTGCCTGTCCATTTGGCATCTGAGAGCTTAGGCTAGTATGTTTACCTAGGGACTTACACTCTCTAAGACTGAATTTTTTCTGAATTATCTTCCTATTCAGCTGCTGATCCTAAAGCTGCTTTCTTTAAGGAGTAGGAATAAACAAATCCAAATACTTGAGACACCGGGTTTCTTTACAGTGCGAAAAATATGAATGCCAAATAATCGTTAGGACGTGGCAGATGCTCTGATTTATAAATGGCTCCTGAGCCGCCTGAACTGGGTCACTGTCCTCTGATGAGAGGAAGGCTTCTGTGCCCTTTCCGTGTCCAAGGAGCAATCAGAGGAGAAAATAAACAATGTCGTTTTCTCGTGATTATTGAGCATGAGTTTATGGTCTGAAATGCACGAGCATGCTAGGAGAAGATTGTAATACCCCGCTGGTTGTGGGAAAATAAATGTCAAATGAGACAGTCTCTTAAATCTGCATTTAAAACATTGCATGGTTTCCTTGGGCAGAACAAAAAAAAATGTGTCTATCTTCTCTGAAAACAATAAGATTTCTTTGTTACAGGGGAAGATTCTGATTTTGGCATTTTAGCTGTTTCTAGCCAGTCCTGTTTAAGTATGTACGTACACACACACACACATTTACTGTTGTTGCTATAGAGATAAAATATTAATGTTTTATATATATATTGAACATTTGCTCCTGGCTAAACATTGTGCTAGGAAATTTTTAGATATTTTTATGCCACTGTATTCCTCTTGTCTATAGTTATGCTTTCCAAAGATTCAGCTGTCATATCAACCACAATATTAAAAGAAAATTCCAGAAATGAACAGCCCATTAGTTTTAAAATTTGTACTATTTGAAATACCATGATGAAATTTTTTACTATTCTACTCTAATCTGGAACTTGGATTATCCTCTTGTCCAGCACAAGTGGACAGTTACCTGATGTTCCAGTCAACTGTCTGAGTAGCACAGGACTTGTGTTCAACTAAACTTTGTTTAACATCATGCTGAAACCAAAGTTCAAGAGTAGAGATTCAATTCAGATATGTCAAAATAAAGCTGCAAAGTACTTTTTTAAAATAAAAATGTGCATGTTTCCAACTTATTAAGGAAATAAAATTTGTGTCTTGTTTGCCAAGATCTATGTTCAGAATTTATCTGTGAAATTCTGAAGAAGATAAATGGAAAATTCAAGTTAGTTTTTGCCATTGCACTTAAAAACGAAAAAGGATCACCCTTGTGTATAGCAAGTGCTCAGCTAACATGGAAAAATTCTTAAATTTTTTGGTACAACATGTAAGCAGATACATGTTCTCATTGAAGGGAGTGTGTTGCACCAAAAAGTTTTGAGCTTCTGTTAAAATTTCAGTAAGGAATTCCCTGAAATGGGTGACACCACGCAATTTCATTGTAAGTACGTACGCAGGCTCCATACTAACTATATACTGAATATATACTAAAAGCACATAAAAGATACCGGAGAGGCTCATAGATTGATGAAGGAACTCTTGATAAATTTTCGGTAGATTTCAAAAAGTTGATTAAGGAGAAAGGATGCCATCTACAATAAGTCTGCAGTTACTATGAAACCAGGCTCTTCTGGAACAAGATTTCTGATGGAATGTGCACTAATAAAAATGTAAAATGGTGCCAAGACATGAAACATGGAAAGACAGATCAACTCTTTTATTATGTGGCAATGCTTCAGGTCATATAATAAAATCAACCAAAGTTCACAGAACAGAGAAACCATATACTCTTAGGGGAAAAAAATGATAATAAAAATTATTTACCCAATTTTTTCACTATAATTGGAAAGCATGGCTGACAGCAGTCTTCTTTTGGAATGCCTCACCTGATGCTTTGTCCCAGAAGACTAAAAAAAAATTATTTTTTCAAAGCAGAGAGCTGGAATTGAAAGTCCTATCAGCAGAAAATACATGTGACCTTTTTTTCCCCCTGTTTGTTGTAAAGATGTTAAGGTTATATTTTTTAAAATATGTATTTTTATTGGAAAGCCAGATATACACAGTGGAGGAGACATGGAGAGGAAGATCTTCTGTCCAAAGATTCACTCCCCAAGTGGCCACAATGGCCAGAGCTGAGCCGATCTGAAGCCAGGAGCTTCTCCTGGTTCTCCCACGCGGATGCAGGGTCTCAAGGCTCTGGGCTGTCCTCCATTGCTTCCCCAGGCCACAAGCAGGGAGCTGGACGGGAAGTGGAGCTGCTGGGATTAGAACTGGTGTCATTTTCTCCTTTGTATGGTGAAAAAAATACCTTTGCTGTAAATAACAGCTTAAGAACAGTTGAGAACAAGGAAAGCTTAGAACCAGACAGGAAACGGTCAGCGTGGACTCACATGTACCTTATTAGGTAGGACACAAGGATTAATTAGACTGGGCTAGTCATTTAGCCTAGAGTTTAAGGTATCTCATCCCATACTGTGCTTGGTAAGGTTGTACTGTTCTGCAGACCTCATGTGTCTGCTGCAGTGGACCTTCAGAGGAATAGTTACAAGTTGCTGCCACCCATTTTGGAGTCCTGGATGAAGCTGCTGGCTTCTTTGACCCAACCCAGTCCCAGTTGTTGCATGTGTTTAGAGAGAAGCAGCACACAAAACTCTACATCTTCTATTTATATCTCCATTTCTGTCTTTTGAATAAATATATTTTAAACATGACAACCTTGGTTTGATGTAAAAAAAAAATAACAAGCTGGTGGATAGAGTGGAGAACCTAAAGGTAAAATTATGCATCTCCTGAAACTTTATCTGCACCAAATATGCCAAGAATATTACATGCCTTGGAGAAACAATAGTTTTCAATAAGTGGTGCTAGAAAAATTGGACATCCTTGTGCAGAAGAATGAACCTCAAACTACCCTCCATCTCATGTTTTTTTAAAGATTTATTTATTTAATATTGGAAAGTCAGATATACAGAGAGGAGGAGCAACAGGGAGAAAGATCTTCCGTCAGCTGCTTTACTTCCCAAATGGCCAAATCAGCCAGAGCTAAGCCAATTTGAAGCCAGGAGCCAAGAGTTTCTTCCAGGTCTCCCACACTAGTGCAGGGTCCCAACGCTTTGGGCTTTCCTTTACTTCCTCAACTGCTTTCCTAGGCCACAAGCAGGGAGCTGGATGGGAAGATGGGCCTCCAGGACACGAGCCAGCATCCATAGGGGATCCTGGTGTGTGCAAAGTGAGGATTTTAGCCACTAGGCTACTGTGCTGGGGCCTCAATCTCTTACCATATATTTTTAAAAAGTCAATTCAAACTGGAACAAATACCAAAGAAGTATACTATGAAACCTACATTGATTATTAATGTAAAATTCACAAACATCATTTGATGTTGCCATACATCTATGCTTTGGAGGAAACAGGGTTGCTTTGATACTTTCCAAGCATTTCAATGGAGAAGGGATTTGGGGATAAGACCCTAAAACAATCAAACAAAAGAACAAATGGGCTTTTAACGACTAAAAATCTTCTATATAGCAAAAGAAACAGTTTTTTAAAAATCATGGGAAAAATATCTGCATACTACCCATCTCACAAAGATAACGTATGAATCAGGCAAGTCAGCAGTAAAACCAAGGCACTAACTTTAAAATGGGCATCAGGGTGGATACTGTGGCTCAGCAGATGAGCCTGTTGCTTGGGGTCCTTGCATCCATAAAAGAGTGCAACGTTGAGTGCCTGATACTGCACTCTTCTGACCCAGCTGCCTGCACAAGTGCATGGAAAGCAGTGGATGTGATCCATAGAACTTAGACTCCTGTCGTCAATGTGTGAGACTCACATGGGGCTTCTGGCTCTTGGATGCAGCCTGAACCAGCTCTAATTCTTGTGGGCATTTGAAGAGTAAACCATTGCATGGAAGAGATCATTGCTTCTCCTCCCCTCCCTCATTTTCTTTCTGTCCATTTTGAATAAGTAATCAGTCTTTAAAAAATTGGACAATCGTCTTACGAAGTTGAGAGTATAGTAGTAGTTACTGAATGATGGAAAGAGTTGTAGGAAAGGAAGAAGTGGGGAAAAGTTGATAAGTTGCCAAGTTATAATTAGTTCTGATGTTAGAGTGAGTTCTAAGATACAGTGAGTTGCGATGTTCAGTTGTACAATGGTGTAGCAGCAAATAACACTAATGAACTGTGTATTTCATGGAATGGTAGAAAAAGGCTTCAGTTTTTACTACAAGAACTGAGAGATGTTTAAAGAGCAGATGTATTTACTCTGATTCGGACATTATACAATATATGCAAATAGACCAACATCACATGGGTACTCCAAGTACATGCACAACTTTATGTATCAAGTAAAACCAGAATAGTCAACTTTTCATTTTATGACATCTTTTGTGAATATAATGGTGAAAATATCTTAAATCGTAGAGGGGGCCAGTCATTTTGGTGCCACAGGTTAGGTTTCCACCTGCAATGTCTTGCTCCCATATCAGAGTGCTGGCTCAAATTCCACTTTGAGATCTAGCCCCTTGTTATAAGCCTGGGAAAGCAGGGATCCTCAGTCCAGGCACTAACAACTCCACATCCAGAGACAAGTTCAGCGCCAAGAGTTTGGATCCTTGCTCCCCAGGTGCCCTGGCCGTTGTGGCTGTTTTGAAATGAACCAGCAAATGGAAGATCTCTGTGGACTCTCCTTTCTCCTTGGTCTTCTGCTTTTTTAAACAAAGAAATCAAACAGAAATTAGAGGCAAAACCAAATTTGACTGTATATTATTGATGCCAAATTTTAAAAAACAATAAAGATGAATCCAAAAATGAAACAAAACAAGAAAACATTTATTATTGAAAACTTGGAAAATGCAGTTAGGCAAATAAAATCACGCTCTATTCAGTACATCTAGAGAAAATCAGTAACTGC